GTAGTAAATTTGCAAGAAAAAAAATCAGAAATTTCCATAATTAATTTTTCGGCCTTTAAACTAAATATTTTCTGACATTGTAAAGTCAGAAATTTTCAAGGAAAAAAAACTCTTAAAATTATCAGATAAAGATGTTTTTTTTTTCAATCTTGGACTTTTTTAAGCAACTCTAGTTTAAAAACTAAAACACATACACACTTCAAACCTGAACTAGATTGTTGATTGAAGATTTTTTAAAACAAAGTGCGTGATTTGTGAAACATACATTTCATATAGACAGTATAGGGCAGTTTCAGTAATTTTTATGCATTTTATGAACAAATTAAGGACATGATATCCAATGTTTTTCTCTTCTCTTTTTTACAGCACAGTCATTGACCTTGGTGAACAGCGACACATGAGTGATGCTGGCTTCTACATTCACACCAGTGCAGCCCAAATGTAGCCAGCTGTACAGAGCATGCATCATGGCTTCCTACGTTTCCAACAGATTCATCCTGATACAGCTATTTCATGTCCACACAGACATTGAGAAGGATGGCCTTTCTGAAAAAYAAGGCAACAACTAGACAGGAAGCCAGGAAGAAAAGCAAATGTGCTTTATATTTAGAACTTGGTAGATCTATCCAATCTATACAGCACTGTACTGTAGATTCCTTGGAGTCGTATTTACYCTAAAACATTTCTGCGTAAAAAAAAGATCGTGAAATTGTTACAGATTACATTTTGCATTACTTGACATTTTTACACTCAACTAGCCCAAAAATGAGTCATGCATATGATAAAATGACAACAACCAATTTTTTCTGGGTTCTTACTAAAACAATGGTAATTCAAAGTATTAGGAGTGGCAATAGAGGGGATTCGCTCAGCTGCTGGCTGAATATTCCTTGTTGATATTCTGATGATATAGCTTTGTATGGTTTGGTTTGGTTTGTTCTGAGCTAAAAAAAATTAATGATCTGTTTATCTGAACCTTTCTCAATAAAAATTTCAATTTTGCCAAATCTGTCATTCACAGTGGATTGCAGTATACAGTGTGGTAACTTTTGCTTTAGTTTAAGGTTTAGCTGTGTTCTTAGGCCTCGATTTATCAACACTTTACTACTTATAGATACATGAGCAAACATGATCGTGCGCACAAAGTTGATTTATTAACAGTGTTCAGTGAGGACTGTCTGTCAGATGAGCAAAACAGCAGCCGCAACCCATTCAGTGTGTCTACCTTCATGAATATGAAAATCATATTATGATTAACAGATCACACAAAATACTGTGTGGAAGATATGCATATATAATTATTTTACACACAATGTGATTGATCAAACCTTGAAACTGGCGGTTCTGTTGTTTCAGTGTTTATTTAGTACGCCTACATGTAAAAGACAGGTGCAAAGTATCTGTGCAGTTTCAGACTAGCTTTATCCTCTCTGCTCTGTAGTGTGACATAGCCCACATAAAAATAAATAAAGTATACATAACTGTAGCCCAATGGCTTAAAACGTATAAACTCCAACTCACCTGGGGTCAGTTTATTTTACTTTTATTATTTTGCATATCCAGAGCTGTGACAGAGGAAGGTTTTTTCCTTTTTGAATCTTTCTCCAAAAACCGCCTGCATTGCAATAAGTAGGCTACATGCTGACAATACGCACATTTAATGTGAATGTGTTTTCCTTTAAACAAATGAGTGAGCTCACCTTTTCTGTAGCTTCTCTTCTGATCGGTCCGTCCGTCCGTCCGTCCACTGAAAGTGTTTCATTCAATATTACTATTACACAAAGTATTGAAACTTTAAAATATTTTGAAAAAGGACTTTAAAAATAAGGGTAAAAAATATACATAAAATCTATTTGAAAATAGTACAACTTCATAAAAGTATTGGATAGATATTTGTAATGTGCATTAAAAATATACACTAACAAATAGATACAAAGTATATTTAAAAAAAGATTATGTAAAGTATAGTTTAAATAATATATTTAAATTAAATGTAAAGTATATTGTATCTGTGTGTGTGTGTGTGCGTGCGTGCATGGGTGTCACTAGGTCTTAAGGACAAGGGGGGTTTAGCCCCCAGGAGACGCACAGAATTTTTGTATACTCTATATTTGTA